GGGGCGGCTGGGGGCATGGCCTGCTTGTGTCCCTCTGGAAGTTCATGTGTATTGTGTGGTATTTTCTACCCCCAGATGATGGTGGAAATTTGTAAAGAGCTCTATGTAAATGTCTTAAACCAGCAAGTGCTTATATGAAAATTTTCAAAGTATAATAGAAACTAACCCAAATGCTTTTCATGATCACATGATCTAGAAAAATATTTTATATTAAAGCTAGTTTGAGTTTTGTTTGGTTAAATAGGTATGTCTTTAAAATTCTAAGCATTAAATAGAATACTTTTATTCTACCTGGATTTATTGGTTAAATAAGTTCATGTTATCAAGAAAAAATAATATAAGGTGAGAGTAACTTTTAATGGATTATAAAATCTTCACAAGTAGTCTAAATATGATTGTTAAAAACTAATAAATTAAATAGATGTCAATAGAATAAAAAGTGTTCAAGTGAAACTTTTTAGCAATAAGTATATATGCTATAGTATAGGTACTTAAAAAGAGTTTCCCAAAATCTTTTGGTAACTTGAAATCTTAGAGTCTTTCTAAGTTGTGTATGATGGAAATTATTCAATATCTAGATCATTTTCAAATAAGATAAAATACTGAAGCATTAATTGCTAAGTAAATCTAAATTTACCTACCTTTGGTTTTTTATTACAGAGAAACAGAAAGATAAAATCAGATCTGCTAATGAATATGGCTTGTGTTCTGTTGGGGAAGCAAATTATAAAATATATTTATTTGTCAGTAAAAGAAACTATGTTTGTTGAGGTTATGAAATGTATTCATAAATTTGCCAATCTAAAGAAAGCTAATTGCTTGCTATTTAGTATTTATTAGAAATTAAAGTTTTTAAGGAATAAAATTTCAGTATATAGGGTGTCCCCCCCCCAAAACATATACACACACTTTGAATAATCATAAAGGCAGTGTTTATTAAAATACATTTCATTTTCAAAACTGAGCTATCAGCTATTAAAGTGTATATACATTTTTTGGGACACCCTGTATATAATTAAAAGTACTAGGAAAAATAAGGGAAATAACCCTGAATGCAAGGAAATAACATGTTTTTGGTCAAAGAACATATAAAGAATTATCAGTACATGCAGACCCAGGGAAAAGCCATAAGCAGAAGTCGGGGAAAGACCTAAGAAAGAGGCTGGCTACTCCGGTCAGGAATTCAGAGAGTTTATTCGGGAAACCTACATGAAAGGCATTTTGTGTGTGTGTGGCTGCAAGGTAAAAGGTGTCCCCATGTCGCTTGGCAGGCACCAAAGACTTATACAGGATAAAAGATGGGGAGGGGTAGTCATGACGAGTGTGTGACTACGCCCAGGTGCAGAAATTACTGCGTATGCTCCACTGGGTCAGGACAATGGCTGTCCCGGGAGGCAGGGGAGGGACGCCGACTGATGTCAGAGTGAGCATCGATTGCGACCAGTCCCTAGGGCAGGCGTGCGGTCGGCAGTCGCCCCCTTCCCGCCCAGGGCCAGCTTGGGGGCCAGCAGCAGTCTCTCCACACTCCACCCTCGTGACCCGCTCTGGCAGCCTCACTCGCCGCCCTCTGCTGCAGGGTGTCCTGCGTGGTCAGTGACAGGCTTCAGCAGCGTGGAAGCAGCTGCCTTAGTGGCCGGTTGACCACGTGGAGACGCAGGCCCCAGCGACAGTGCAGCCACAAGGAGGGAGGAGGCAGGAGGCTGGGGGGCGCGGGGCTCCTCCGCGGGGGAGGCGAGCGGCCAGTCAGCAGGGGCCTGAGCCTGGCAGGGGCAGGCAGCTGGGACACTGCCCGTCGGGCCTTGATGGGCGGGAGCTTCTTACCGTCACTGGCTGTTCCACTGGGGCGTGCCTGACCTCTGCCCCCTTCCACAGTTGGGACCAAAATCCAAGGGGGTGCTCTCCGCCCTTGCTGTTTTGGCTCTGACGCCCGGCCCACGCCTTCGGGCTTCCCCAACATCTCATTCAAACGGCAGCCCAGCCCCTGAGATTCAAAGGGCTTTAATCTGATCAGTATTTTTGCTTTCTCAGAGGCAGCCTGTAGTTCGGCTCCCCAGTCCCATGTATTTCCTTTCTTTTTTTTTTAAATCCTCACTCAAGGATATTTTTTCCATTGCTTTTCAGAGAGTGAAAGGGGGAGAGAGAGGGAGAGAGGGAAACACCGTTGTGAGAGACACATCAATTGGTCGCCTCCCATACACGGGGGCTGGGGGTCTAGCCCGCAGCTGAGGTACGTGCCCTTGGCAGAAATTGAACCCAGGACCCTTCAGTCCTTGGGCCAACGCTCTAACCACTGAGCAAACCAGCTCGGGTCCGTATATTTCCTTTCTTGACTAGGCATTGCACTCAATGTAGTTCTCCAGTAATTCCCACAAAATTACTGGACCTCTTCAACATTTTTTCTATGGAATAGGAGTGTACTTTGCCTGTGACAGTCTCAGGGACAGCATAGCATGGCTCTTCCCCGACCACATGACGCCCAAACACTTTACTGCGGTGCCTGGACCTTGAACTGTCTGTGGACTCGCTGCCCATCCTCTGTGCTGTAGGCGGTGCAGCAAAGCTCAGGGTTTTCTTAGCAGAGGCAAACCGCAGAGCCTAGCACCGGGTCATCAGTATAATTCACAGGGGGGAAGGGAAACAGCGACCAGTCCTGCCCTGAGGTGGCGCTATGTGAGTAACCTTGGGGGTTATCTGGAAGGTCCCCTGTCGCCCTTCCCGGGTAAAAGGAAATTGCTCTTGGGGCTCCGCAGCCAGGGGGATGCTAAAGCGGGCATTGGCCGGGCCCACTGCCGCATGAACCGCCGTTAGCCAGCCTCGGATAGAGTGGCCGTGTTGGGCACAGTTCCCCGTCACCCGCTGTCCTTCCCCAAGGCTGCCTGGCTTTTCTCCCGGCCACCCTGGACTGGTGAAGACACTGTGTTCAGGGCACTCAGAGCCATACGGTGGAGCTCTTGAGTAGTTTCCCCTGTTCCATTGCTTCCTCAGGGTGGCGGGGATTGACCGTCGCCACTCTGGGGGGGATTCACTGGCTCTCGGGGGGCACTGGCTCTCAGTACTGATTCGGTTACTCGCACCCAGAGGCGGAATCTTCCAGTAGGGGCTGTGGGGTCGGCCTTGCAGAATGTCACTACCCGATATGCCCCCAGGACCCGGGAGGTGAGGACCTCGTCCTCCCAAAGGGGAGAGCGCCGCTTTGCAGAACCAGGGGGTCCTCCTCGTTGCCGCCCGGCTTCTGCAGGTTGGTGGCCCTGCGCCCCCAGCCCGTTCGGGTGGCCGCGCATTCAGCTTCATTCAGCACCAGCGTCAACCAAAGCAGTTACCCTTTGCGCATTTCTGGGGGACCAGTGATGGGTGAGGTGAGTTCTGTGAGGCCTCCAGTCACCCCCTGTGGGCCTCGCCCGAGGCTGATCTTCGCTTTGGTCCTATACTGCGGGGGAGGCACCCAACCGGAGTGGAATGAACCCCGCAGGGCTCCTCCTGCGCGGGGCGATGCGCCCGAGGCCGCAGCTGCAACGCTTTCTTCGAATCAAAGGTCAGATGCGCGAGGTGTGTCCTCTGTGTCCCGCTTTTATTATCGCCTGGGACAAACTAAGGTGGGTAAACGATGGCAGTAAATGAAACAAAGAGGCCACGGGAAACCCAGGCCACTCGCTTCCCGTCCCGAGCAAACCCCGCAGGTTTCCGCTCTCCCCCGCCACCAGGCGCAGCTGGGGCAGGTGGCCTGGCGTGGGGACGTGCTCTCCTGGCTGCAAGTGTGTTTCCTGGACGGGCCGAAGCCTTCCCTGCCACAGGGCCACTGCCCGCCGGGTGACAAAGAAACTGCCAGAAAGCGTGTCTCCCGCGGGGGCTGCCTTCGCAGTCCCTAGTGATGGAGGCGCCCGTGTCACAGCCATCCTGTGAGCCCTGCTGGACCGCCCCGCAAACTCCCTGGGATTGTCACGGACCCTGTCACCCTCAGCTACCGGGCGAGGTCGAGAGAGCTAATGAAAAACTGGGTTCAAGACGAAGTAATTCCACGGGACCGAATGAACTGACGAGGACGGTTACAATTTTATGACTTTTCGTTTGAAACATTGCTGGTTCTTTAATTTTTGTTTTTCCAGATACAAGGAAACCTTTTCTCTTAAACTAAGACTTATAGGAGTTTGGTGAGTTACAGCTTTGTAAACAGAATCGAAACACTTCTCTTTTCTTTCTACCTAATCCCTCCAGAATTCAGAAACTCTGTATTTTTATTTTCATGGAAATGTTGTTATCTGCATAAGTTCAATAAGAGTTCTGTTGCCCTGGCCGGGTAGCTCAGCTGGTTAGAGCATCACCCCAGTACGCCAGGGTTTCGGGTTCAACCCCTGGTGGGCACATACAGGAATCAGCCATGAACGCATAAATAAGTGGAGAAACACATTGATCTCTCTGTCTCTCCCTCCCTCCCTTCCTCTCTCTCTAAAATCAATCGATAAATAAAGATTAAAATAAAAAAGAGTTTTTTTCTTGTAATGGGACACAATTGGAAGCTGGTTGTATTACCAAGGCTTTGACTGGAATGTCATATTTGAGAGACACACACATAGACTTAGATATGACCAGATACCTTTAAGGATTTAAGATCGACTTAGGGAAGCCAATAGAATCCTTGGAAATGTTGGCCTGGTAACCTCGCCTGTTTGAAGCAGCCTTACCAACGAGGAAAGAAGGTCACTTCTTGGCAGGTGAAGGAGTCTCAAGGTATTTTGGGGACATCGAGGAAAGAGGAACTCACCCAAAACTGAAGGTGTTGCAGGCGGAGTCGGAGGTGACTCCCTGTCACCAGGGGCCTTTAAAGTTCAGCCAGGAGGTTCCTTATAAAAAATCCCAGTAAAGCAGAGATTTAAAAGATCCTATGTGATCAATTGCTATTCTTGTTGTATGTATACACATAACAGACCAAGTTTATTAAAACGATATTATTTTAAACCAATTAGTCCTAACTTGGCTATCTTTGGTAAGAAGAGGGGTGGTTTTAGAGAGAAACTTATGTTCCAGTAAAGCACTTTTGTGGATAGTAGATTCCAGTGCTGTGCATTGCCTTTCGAGGTTTGCTTCTCACCTGTAAACTGGACTGGATCCTGGTTTCTCCAGTGTCTGGCTGTGACTCCCCAAGTCACGTTGCCGACATTTCTCCCATCTTTGACTGGGACTCAGGGAGAACCAAAACCACCCTCGCCCAAAGCCATGCGAGCTGAAGTGGGACAACTTGATATAAACTCGGAGAAATCACAGCAGCTCGTACACGGACACTCTTCACGCCTGTGGCACAAAGATCACCAGAGGTGTTCCAAATGCAAACCGGGGAGTCTACCAGCCCCTCACTGCCTGCCTTCACTCCTCCTGAAGGTGATTCCAGCCAGGCATCTAGAAATCTCCTGCCTGCCCGCCTTCAGGACTCAGATACCAGCGTGATAGCCTGCTCCAGCCATTAAGCACTGTTTTTCTTTTGTTTCCACTGAGATGCCTCTTACTCAGTACCTGAGTGCTTGTACCATAGGCCTATCTTTGGGGACAACACCGTCGAATTGAACTGACCTGTTCTTAAGACAGACTGGTTTAATGAGATATGGAGCAAGCTATCAACCCAACTTCTGGACCATGAGACTTCTCAAGAAGTTTCAAAGGCAGGACTCATGGGTTCAGAACAGGCTCCCTAAGATGTGCCACTTGGGCGTGGGAATTATTTGGACCTGAAGGCAACCAAGACCTTGAGGGCTCTTGAGAAACTTCCCTCTCCCTTAAAGAATTTTAATTAGGGGCCTTGCCCATAATAAGAGTTATCATCAGAAATAACATTTTATGACCTATCTATAGGGCAGGGCAAATTTCTAATCACCAAATACCTGTTCTCCTATCGTCCTGCAATGACCTTCCTCCCCTCCCCAGGCGCCTGACCTCATCCCTAGGTCAAAGTGTCATAGCTTCGTGTTCCCTTTCTGTCTCTGAACCTCCTGTGTCTCTGGGTCTCTGACTCTCATGCATGTGGGGTTCCCATATGTATGTATGTAATTAAATTTGGTCATTTTTCTCTTGTTAATCTGACTCACATCTATTTGATTATTAGATGAGCCAAAGAGCCTAGAAGGGGGAGTTTCTTCCTCCCCCATTTTACCAAGTATCATAAAGGCTTCAAAGGCACTAGGACAATCTTGGTTTATAAAGTTAATGCCACAGCCCGGCCGGGTGTGGCTCAGCCGTTGAGCGTCGACCTGGGATCCAGGCGATCGGGGTTCGATTCCTGTTCAGGGCACATGCCCGGGTTGCGGGCTTGATCAATGCCTCTCTCATCATTGATATTTCTGTCTCTCTCTCTCCCTCTCCTTTCCTCTCTCTGAAATCAATAAAGATATATTTTAAAAAATAATAAAAAAATAAAGTTATTTTCACAGATGGGTCCTACAGCATTTTTTAAAAATCCTCACCTGAAGATGTCTTTCATTGATTCTACAGAGAGAAGAAGGGAGAGGGAGAGAGAGGGAGAAACATCGATGTGAGAGAGAAACATCGATCTGTTACCCCACACATGCACCCCAACTGTGGATCGAAACCGCAACCCTTTGGTGCACAGGAGGATGCTCCAACCACTGAGCCACATCGGCCAAGGCCCCAACAGTATTCTATGGGCCGCTGAGGCTTCTTGCCCTTTCCTGCGATGCCGTGACTGGGCACAGGCCCCTGGGCGAGCTTTGCAGGTGCTGCTAGCTCTGTTCGTTTTCTTCCTCCAGAATCCTTTAAAATAAAAAAATCCTTTCTGAGTAACTGTTCCATCGAAGGGTACACTCACACTGTTTCCCCAAATGACATTGTTTTTATTAAGCAAGACATTTACTGTTGAGAATATATCTTCTCTGCTGTCTCTCTCTTTTAGTGGTTCATGAAAAACAAAAGTGGTTTGTGGATTTCATTACAGGAACAGAATTCAGCAAATACCTTAAGCTGAGATGTGCTAGAAACATCTGTACTTTCAGCCAACTGTACATAGCGAGCCTCCCACACTGGGTAATTGGCTCCAACGTTTCCTCCTAATCTACGGCAGTGTTTCCTCTACATCTTCCAGCCATATTTGCTGACAAAGAAATGCCTTTCGATTTGCCGACAGATCGTTCTCTGTTCATTGTTTCCGCCGTGTTTACTGCAGCGGGAAGAATAGGCCCTGGTGGTAGTTGTTTTTTGTCTTCTGCTATTATGTAAGAAACTTTCAGAGAGCTTTCCAAATATTTATCATGGCCTAGGGAAACATCAAGAAGGACCGGCCGAACAGCGCGCAGCCTTAAACATCGCAGGGAAAGGTTCGGGGCTCCCTCTCGCTTATTTTTGTTGTTCTTGCTAATCCCCACCGGAGGGTATTTTTTCCATTGGTTTTTAGAAAGAGCGGAAGGTGGGGGGAGAGAGAGAGAGAGCAACGTGGATATGAGAGGGACACATGGATTGGTTGCCTGCCGCACTCACCCTGACCTGGGCTGGAGATTGAACCTGCGACCCAGGTACGTGCCCTTGACCGGGATCAAACCTGCGACCCTTTGGTGTGCGGGCTGACGCTCCAGCCACTGAGCCACATGGCCAGGGCTGAAAGCTTACTATTTAAATGCCTTGAGCACCAGGAGGATTCTGTGTTGTCACTGACTAATATCTCAAGGCACAAGGCACCCGGGCAAGCTTCCCCAGTGACAATGGGGTGGGGTACCTCAAACAGCTGTGTTTTGTTTATATATATATATATATATATTTGGGGCTAACGTCTCATCAGGTCTGTTCCAGGGTGGTGCTGGGCATGTATCAGG